TGCAGATGTGCAGGGCTCTCAAGTTATTATTAAAGTTCAACTACTCTGAAGTGTAAGATGTTGACATAAACAGCAAGATGCGACATAATGGCCAAAGACATTTGTAGCATAGAGCGAATGCTAGAATGTGTCCTTTGTGAACTACCTTGGGCAGATTGACAAATCCAATTTCTAAATGGGTTGATGTGAACTGCAGACCACTGATGGGCTTATGTTTAATGATATCAAAATAAAAAAAATTACCAATGTCCATTCAATACTTTATATGCCTGCTATCATATTTGGATTTTTTTCTCAACAAATATTGATGTATGCAGTTATTTGAGATTCATTTGATTACTTCAATTACTTAATTGGCAGCCTCAATTAGTGTAATCCAACCAGAAAAGACTGTCCCTGCAACGAAATATACTGAAATGGCTATGAGATTAAAGGACCAATGGGAAGAAATACAGCATGTAGGCTAAGGGTTTCATGGAGTTTCTCATATCCTATATAGTACAGAGCACACTACTTGCCTCGCCCATTGTACCAGCATTAACACTGATGGGAAGAGACTTGGAGGCACTCTGTTGAGCATCTCATGTTAAGTCACAGAATCTGCAGTTTTGTTGCATTTATTCTTGGTGTTCTAGTTGTGCTGGTGTTAAGTCTTTAATAACATTGTGTCATATCTTCTCAGCTATTTACGGCACTATGCAGCAAGAACTGTCACCTCTCATCTCACAGCCCTGCTGCTTACGCTACATTTGATACTAATCACTGATGCAGAAGTGTTATTTTTATAATTAGATGATATATTAGCAGATATAACTAGCAAATATAGAGGCAAATGTATTTTTTCTTTTCTTTGTGGGTATTGCCATGCACACTGTACAGAGTGAATAGCATGTGTGCATGACACCGTAGCATTTGTGTGGCCTGACAGTCTGGCGTCGAGTCACGTTATGGCATCACACAGGGCAACTGGTAGGTTTTTCCAAAACCAGTTCTGCTCTGTAATGACATAGTAGATGAATGCATAGATATTATGATTATTAGACTTGCATACAATCTGAGAAATACTAATCAAATGTTTGTGGCCATTTTGTTTAAGGGATATATACACTATATAAACTTGTTGTTTTTACAGAACAGATTCTTTAAAAAAAGAGAGGAACCATTAAATATATATATGATGTATATTTTTATATATAGCACCTCAAGCTATTTTGTGGTAACACAGGTAACTTTTTGGGCTTAATAAATATGAATGGCGTATTTCACACCTTTTTGTCCAGAGGGGTCATTTGCCATAGCATGTTCATGGGGAGCTCTGACAGTATTTCATACAGTAGTTAGTGCTTTCATATTCTCTTGGAGTATTTAGTATGTCCTTCTCTGATCATAACATGTAGCATTACATATACATATTTTTTCACTCAGTGCTTCCCTTTTTTTTTTTTTTTTTTTTTTACAAAACAGTGTAATATACTCTCAATGATCTTACAGTAAAGCAGACACTTTATTTATGTGATAATCATCTTAATATTCTTTTCATTCAAGGCCAAATTATTAATTTCAGTATTGGCCAGAATGGTTCACTGTTTGTGATTAGTCTAGTATTTGTATTGCTTCTGTTCATTTTTATCTACATTCATCATTGACTACCTGAGAATCAGAAGATATGATGCCATATTTTTCTCACTCTGCTCAAATTATCATCCCTCATGTTGTCAGGTTCATCTCTGTAGCACAGATATGTTATTAGTGTACGAAGAGCTGTCTTACCCCTGGACAATGTCCTGTGCATTTCTTCCTGACATGTCAATCACTCCCCTAAAAAATACATGTGTAAATATTCCTCATATTGTAATATTATTGACATATTCAATATATTTGTTTTTACAACACACAAAATATCTTGAAGGTGTAACCACTGTGAATAGACCAAAGCAAATTAACGTTTAATCTTTTTGCCCTCATGTATGTGCTTGTGTATGTTTCCTTTGTCAATCTGTAGTCTTTGTAGTCATGTATGTATATTTTCCTATTGTATATTTCTTGTAAAAATGTGTTTTTAATTAAAGAAAGTTGCCTCATTTTGAGTCTGGTGTTTTTGAAAATTTACAACAAAATGTTCAAAATAAAGTCAACAATTTTATTTTACATTTTTAGAGCTTCGTTTAAACCTATTATATTCATATTCTAATTATAAAATGTTTAGAAATGCATGTTGAAGAACTACTGTATAATAACACAAGTAATTGTGAGCAAGTACACCATAAATACATCTTCCAAACTTTTTTGTGCCCTACCCTTATTACTACAGGGAGCCTATAATAATTTTAGAACTGTCAAAACAGATTTCGCAAGAAACTGCATGTTTCTGTCATTCCTCCCTGCGTGTTTACATCAAATAAAGGTAAACAGGGTGGCTACTATTGGTGGAAGGTGTAGCTTGAAACTACAACAAATGAACCTTTAACTGAAAAGAGTTTGCAAACAAAAACGGAAAGTGACAGTGTGTGTAATAAAACATGAATCAACACCAGCTTGGCTTTAGTTTACAAAGCATCACATTTGCTGAGCATTGACTGGGTTCACAAAACAATGTTGGTAAATGCTGGTAACAATGCCAAACTCCAAACCAGTTACTACTAGTACTTTTTACTAGTACTGCTAGTAAACGGTTTACACCCTTTTTCCTGAACTGATACGAAATCTTGATGGTTAATTTTAATGTCAGCACACTGGCACGCATCTGTAATGTTATTTTAAAACAATTATATTTGTTATATTTGTCATATATCGTCTTTCTTTCATCCTTTATTGATTCGATCAGGCACACCCGTGCGCTTAAAACAGTCAGATTCTTCCATGTAGAATAACCAAAGCACAACTCGCGTAATCAAAACAATGTTCCTCCGCATTAACTTGTAGTTCTATGCTTCAACCACTAGAGGTTACAATAGCGTATCTTTAACAATTTGTACTTTATCATTTAGAATCAGAATTAGTCAAAAGAGCATACACAATGGAAACCGGCAATATTTAACCCTTTTATTTATAATCACACAATGACTTTTGTAATAAAACAAATTGCAAAAATGCAGACCAGATGCTTTTCAGATGCGTACAGAGAAAAACGTTCAGTATATAACACTGATCCTACAATCATCACAACGTTTAGATCTTAATTGCACAGTCCATATGTGCAGCTTTAAGGCACAAATATAAAAAATGCTAAGTATAAGCATAAATTGCCAAAAATAGAAATTCTCTTAGAGCACAGAATGTGAACTGAGACATGGATCCTCTTTGTAATAATCCCCCAGACATTCACTAAACCAAACCAGCAATTTAAAAGAAAAAAAAAAAGACCTAATCTTAATCTCAATCCATACTGTGGCTGTGTGTAATCTCTCTCAGGCATAACTGTAACCCGGATGGATGGGTAGTGTTATGACTTATGATTATCAGCATGTCATGCCAGTGCGCTCTTATCTAGCTCCAGGCTTAAACCGCAACCAAAAATAGAAACCCTTGATATCACATGTTTATACAGGGTTTCAGATCCTTTAATGGTAGAAATGATGAGTTATGACTGTTTTATTAGATTTTATAGAATGAACTGAAAATAGAAAAGGAATAGATTCAAAAGCAAATAACTCAACAGGAAGGGAAAAGGTCAGCATCTGTGAATGGCCAATAGCACTCGCTGGAAGCCCATTTTTGGATTTTTGCTCAGGGACCCCCACCGGACATGATGGCATGGTTTCTCTTTCAAACCAAGCAAGTGTCCACCGTTTATACCCTGCAGCACCAAGGCCCCGATATACTTCAAGCAAAATTCAAGAACTGGTGTGATGTCATTTTGAACAAAATCAGGCGTAATGTTAGTTAGAGTTTGTTTCAGGAATTCAAAGTAGCTTGACTGAAAAATTTTCTTCAGCTGTAAACACCATCTTCAAACTACCATTGGTCCATGGCGATTATGTAATACAGTAGATAAATGTGCTCTGGGGCTCTGCCTTCTTTGATGGTGAAATCTTCTTCTGTTCATTTCTTCTGTTCAGGCTGTCAAGATCAGACATGAGTAAAAACATGAACACACTGGAGATCTGAAGTTGCAATTCTAATTGAAAGTGACACTGATACTGTTTGTTTCATGTTTAGTACTGTAAATCTGCTTGCTTTATCTGTTGTATAAAGCTATGTAAATATGACATGACTTGACTGGAGTGCCAAATTGCAGAGCTTGTGCAAACATATCCACTTCGCTATGATCAGATGCTTTCTTAAAGGAATGGTTCACCCAAAAATGCAGAAAATTTGCTGATAATTTACTAACCCTCAGACTATCCAGACTAAAGTCGTGTAGATTACTTGAGAATTACTGTGATGCTTTTATCAGCTGTTTGGACTCTCATTCTGACGGCACCCATTCACTGATCCATTGGTGAGCAAGTGATGTTATTTCTCCAAATCTGTTTCAATTAAGAAACAAACTCATCTACATCTTAGATGCCTTGAGGGTAAATCTGAAGCTAAATGAGTAAATCTTGAGCAAATTTTCACTTTTGGGTGAACTATTCCTTAAACTGCTGTTTTCTCACCACTGTCATTTTTGTACTGCTTATTTTGTTGTTGAGAGAAGAGTGTGCTGCACATATTTACATATCTAATCGCTACTCTCAGCAGTGTGGGTGGCATCATGAGGGTTACAAACAGTTTACCACAGCTCATGTATTTCAAACTTCTTTTAACTCAAGTGAAGAATGAAAGAGAACTTTGCCATAAGTATATCGAGGCCTTTACTACTTTATGGCTTTCAGAGTTTTTGTCGGGTTCTTGGGAACTTTGACGATAAATTCCATGGGGTCTTTGGCCTTGTTGCTGAAAGCCCTTCGAATGGCATCCACCGCATGCTGATGTGTAACACCTTGGAGGGACTCTCCATCTACCGACACCAGCTCGAAGATGTTATTTCTCCAAATCTGTTTCAATTAAGAAACAAACTCATCTACATCTTAGATGCCTTGAGGGTAAATCTGAAGCTAAATGAGTAAATCTTGAGCAAATTTTCACTTTTGGGTGAACTATTCCTTAAACTGCTGTTTTCTCACCACTGTCATTTTTGTACTGCTTATTTTGTTGTTGAGAGAAGAGTGTGCTGCACATATTTACATATCTAATCGCTACTCTCAGCAGTGTGGGTGGCATCATGAGGGTTACAAACAGTTTACCACAGCTCATGTATTTCAAACTTCTTTTAACTCAAGTGAAGAATGAAAGAGAACTTTGCCATAAGTATATCGAGGCCTTTACTACTTTATGGCTTTCAGAGTTTTTGTCGGGTTCTTGGGAACTTTGACGATAAATTCCATGGGGTCTTTGGCCTTGTTGCTGAAAGCCCTTCGAATGGCATCCACCGCATGCTGATGTGTAACACCTTGGAGGGACTCTCCATCTACCGACACCAGCTCGAATCCAGCCTGCACGCACACACAAAAAAAGGGATTTCTAGAAAAGTTCAGGACTTGATCATTAATGCAGATGTCTATTTTCATGACACATCCCTGAGTATTTCTGGCAGTGCGCAGACATGCGTGCGCTGTCTGAATGGCAGGAAAAAGCAGATGCTGCAGGCACAGGATGCCACTCGTTTCCTTTGTTCTCCTTCGTTAATACCTGTGAATGATCTCATCTGGCCTGTTTCACACTGTGTGTGTGTCAAGGCTCTGCCAGTGGATGACATCAGCTTATTATACTTCAGAAATGGATGTTTTTCTCTGTGATTGTAACCACTGGCAGACCAGAAGCACAGATGTTTGAGTCTTTCAGGTCAAAAACACATGGCATATCCATAAGCTCTAAACTTACTTAAACTCTATCAATCTAAACTCATTTTCCTATCTCTGACACCACTAACAGCATAAAACTAAGTTAAAAAGTGAAACAGTCAAATCAGAGTGAGCAGAAGCAAATATGTACCCCAGTCTCTAGGTGAGCATAACCCAAAAGTTCAACACTCACACAGATGCAGGAGCGTGTCTTTGGAATTATGTCTTTCCTGCCAGGAAAAAAGTACAACGTAGGCACATTTCCTCAGTCACGATCTCTTACCAGGATGCACCTGTTTAGTGAACTCTCTACACCCATCCTTAGTGGTCAGGGTCTGTTTTCATGCTCTTCATTGGTCAGAACAAACACTTGTCCTCTTATAGAGACATTATATTTCTCTGTTCATTCTCACTTAAATAGAACTGGAAAACATTTATTATTTTGGCTCATTATTTTCAGCTAAGAGTGCAATTTCTTCTGCGAAACACAAAAGAACATATTTTGAAGAATGTTGTTGACCACTGACTTCCAATGTATGGTCACAACACACAAGTGTGAGTAACTGTTTTTATTACGTGGTCACTATTGCTTTGTCTGTTATTACAGATTGTTTGATATGTACTGAGTATTTATGCGTTTTAAAACTAAATCACAGCAGCGTCCATCTATGATGGATGTAGGCTGTCAAACATACACAACTTTTAGCCAATCATAGCAGTGGGTGTTTACTTCCGAGTCTACAATCCGCCACACCTATTCAAACAGTGTTCAGATGAGGGGGTCAAAACAGGACAGAATTAATTTTTAATTATGATGTTTCTGTTGTAAAAATCTTGATGACATTATAAGTGTACCTCAGAGAACAGTACAAAATAATAAAAAAAGGCAGTTCATGACCCTTTTAATTAATGCCCAGTTATATATCATGTTATAAAATTATAATTTATAATTTAGATATGTCACATTAAGAATGTAAAATGGGATGATAACAGCAATTCACATTGACATTTAAGTTCCTCATACAAGTAGGCTTACAATTTAGCCCACAACTTTAGCGGCTCCTGAGGTGCGTTCCGATTGACAGGGTCCCTACGCAGTGTTGACTGCTCCCTACTCCCTAAGCACGGGATATCTGTTGAAGTGGACTTCTCTGACAATAATCGCTCATTTGGAACACCCTGGAATGTCCTCAAAGAAAGGCAATGACAGGGTCACAGATTATGAACATTAATATAATAAATATTGTAATTTATTTTACTTTCAAATTTATATACAAATATGTATCTAATAAATATAGTCAAAATGTATATGTTTATACTGTTAACAGATTGTAGTAGTCTCATCTCGTGCGCTTTCTTTCCTACATGCAGCCTTATATTTAACTCTCCTGTGGTAAATAAAGTCAAATAAAAAATTACAGAGCCTCAACTGTTTCTCAGTGGTTTTACTTTGTTTCACCTATTCATACAATACAATATGCAAATATAACATTCATCGCCATAACCATTCATAAATACTATGAATCCTACTATGCTACTAAATACTATAATTTGTATAATAATAACAACATTTATTGCAACCACTCCATTGCAGAGCCTTAAAAAAACTCTTTCAACGGCTCTGCTCCATTGTTAGTTCTAACTGGTGAAACGGTGCGCAATGACAGTTGGGTGATTTTCCCTCTCCACTTCCTGTGAAGTGATATATCGATATGCCATTATTGCCTATGACGTTTGCAGTGCCCTTCGAACTGAACATGTACGCTCCCTTCGGATTGGAATCTGGCGGAATACCTTGTGAATTCCACTTCGCAGTCCACTTTTGGTAAATTTAGGCAGATTCTGGGTGGTAGTGCTAGTTTATTATAAACTCAAGAAAGCTTATAGTCTTTCTAGTCTAATCGCTGAACACATGCACACACACTTTTGGCAGAGATCTAATGTTGATCAACAGGCTCAAAGTACACATACATAGAATGCAATTGAATTATTGCCTTAATATCGTCTCCGAGTGTTGATTTAGAATGTTACAAGTTGTAGAGGAATTTAAGTGAGGAAACGAATATCACGTCTCATCTCAAAACAAACACAACAGAACTATATAAAGGCTTTTCACTTGAGCACATTTAAACTAAAGGATTAACACTTTTATTCATTTAAAACACTACCCCACATAGGAAAAACAGACATGTCTGCTAGTTACTGACCTGATACAGACACATATAGCTAAAACTGACTGATATTGTCTTGATCTGGAGCGAGATAAGGTAACATTAAAAGAAGCAGGGCAGGCTCAAAACTGCCCAAATGGCTGTTAGAGCGTGCTGCAGTTCCACGTTTCACCACTGATTTACCATTTAAAATTTGTGGGCTGCAGTTCGGGAGAGCACTGTCACAACTGCCCCACTTAGTATAATTACGTACTTGCCGAAGCTTGCAATGAATATATCCTGCGCACTTTATGACTTAAAATTGTCAAGAAAATTTGGAAAATATTTGTTGCAGAATGCTGAACACATTTATAGTTTATTATTTATTCAGTTTATACAGAGGTCTATGTTTTGGGTGAATATTTTTGGCCCCACCTGCCCTTACAGATGAGCCGTGCATGGCTAAGACTATTCCAGTCATGGAGAGTGAACCCAAAAGTAGAACACAAGAACTACTTAAGAGCATTATTAAGAGTATTTCAAAACATTATACTTAATGCAACACACTCTGTGTCCCTTTATGGCCATTTAGGGGCCTAAGATTTGTTTAAGCTGACATTCTCTTCAAACAGCACTTACATGAAGGAAACCGCAGGGACATCATCAGTCTTTTTTGTATGCCATCTGCCTTTTTGACTAAATACAAATCACCAAAGCATTCTATGGTTTCAGAGGACAAGTGGAGTCATTTATCAGCAGATAGCAGAGTACATCACTGTGTGCACGAAGAGAGAGAGAGAAAGAAGATGACTCAGGGAAGAGTAAAAATCAATGTGTTTGGCGCTCATACAGCGGAATAAAAACATATTTTCAGATATTTTCAGATTGCATGGCTTTTGAATTCACAAATTTGGGCCAGACAGTGCAGGTTAAAAGTTACTTGCAATTTTTTTGATATATATATATATATATATATATATATATATATATATATACACACATATATATAACATGTCATCAACCATCACTCTAGCAACCACTCAGAACACCCTATGGCTTAACAAATACTGGAAAAGTTATCAAGCCCCCTTGTGGTGGTAAGTTTTGCACAGACAAAAGACCCTTGACATTTTCTCCAGAAAATGCCCAAATATAGTTAAATCTGTTATTAAACTGAAGCCCTCTGTATTTATAAGCTGAAGAATGACTATCAAGATCAACACAACAGACTATAATCAAGATGAAAAAGAGAGTGCTGGACTAATTACACATGAGCCGAAAGAGCAGACTCTATGGAGCCCCAACACATACACAACACCTGACCTCCGTCTGCCATGCGTGTCAACAACGTTTGATAAGAGGGATGTGACTGCAGACAATGGGTGACAGAAACCTGACCTCCATGCTGCTGGAGCATACTTGCCGCTCAGATAATACAGTTATCAGTTAGACAACAGGAACAGGAAGCATGTGAACAGGGCGCTCCACACTTTCCCTCTGCAGGTCTGTTAATCTGCAGAGCTCAGTGAAGATAGCCGCTCTGAAGAGCCTCTCATGGCTTCAGGGTGAGACAACAAGTGAATTGAGCAGAATGTAAATTAGTCGGCCTTTGGTATGAATGGAAATACCCTCTAGTCTTTCACACCAAGTCCAGCTGGAGGCCAGAGATGAGTGGATGTTCTTGGCAACTGAGGGGTTTTGAGCCTGACACCAGATCTCCTGAGTGTGGCAACACAAGCCTCTCAGAGCAGGCCAGGGAAATGCTGTCACCTGATAGGCTGTAATCGACAAGGATGCGGCTTCTCTTGACAAACACACACACAAGTGCACATACACACATGGGATTCCAGGGTTTTAACCTTTTTTGCTGGGTAACAGAGGTGCTGTTGGTATCGTGCCCTCAACTTCTGTGACCTTTTGCCCTCATTTCTTACAGATGCAAAGACCTGGATGTTGTGTAGACACGGTGGTACATAAAATGTTTGTACAGTACACCAGTTGAAATGACTAGTGTGACATCCAGCTTCGTGACTGATCTACCAGCTCCATCATGGTCTACCAGCAAGACCAGCACCAAACTAGAACTAACCAGACTAAACCAGCCTGGACCAAGCTGGTCTTTCCAATAGAGATGTACAGCATTTGTTGTTATGTGGAGAAAGCTTCCTTAAAAAGAAGCAGCTGACTCAAATATTGTGTTTTCTGGTCTGGTTGATGTAATTCATCAATGATGAATGAGTTGTACCACTTAAGCAAATAAAAATGCCTCTGCGCTCAGCTAACATAACTGAGTGCTAGCTGTAACCAAAACAGAAATCACAAGGCCTGCAGCCATTGATCATTACCAGACCTTCCTAATAATGATTGGGTGACAAACACACTATTCATCAACTAATAATGCTAGGATGAATCCTACCAGCAATATCCTTATACATTATTTGCAGCAATGGTATAGAATTTGAAAAAGGAGTTTGTGTGAGACACTTGGTTGCAGTAGACGCTTCTCTTGAGAACATATTCCACTTTGTCTTGTTCAATTTAAAATTTTACTGCTCAAAAATCAAACAATGGTTGGTCACTCACTGGACACATGATGCCCCGTGCATAATTTGCATCAGTGTTATAGATCAAACCAGCTCATTCAAGTCTGAGACCAAGACCAGAGTCAAGACAGAGTCCACATGCTCCCAAGTCAGAGTCCAAGGCCATATTGTCAGTGTCTTGGTCTTGTAATAGACTCAGAAACATGTGAACTTTACTCTCTTCTGGTCTTGGCCTAGAGTCGGACTCAACCTAGTCACACTTCTGTTCTGTTCTGTTTCAAATAAGCCTTTTCTAGACTGCAACACTGCTTAGCCTACTGTAGATGAGTCTATATGAGGATCAGTTACCTTCAGAACATTACTAGTAGATGCTGCTCCTCCTGGAAAGATCTTCTCTATCTTCACCATTGGCTGCACCTTTGACTCAATCCCACCTGAGATGCTTATTCCTGCAAAAAGAATAATAAGAATCATCTAGCCATCCACATGTTAATGATGACTTCAACTCTCTATATATGCATGAAACAAACACTGTATAACCAATTCATCTACACCATTTATATTCTTATACTGTAGGCCTTTTATTTGGATGGATGTGGAAAACTGATATTTTAATTGTGCCATAAAAGTAACAGATGCTGATTCCAGTCTAGACTAAACATATTAGAGATGTCAGCAGATGTCAACCAGCTGAGCAACTGTCATTAAGATGAACAGAAATAATAACGTTTAGCTTTCTCCAGGACCATTATAGACCTTCTTGAATGGGAGTGCACTCTATTATCTCACTGGGCAATTCACTGCCATCTTCTGGTGAGGTGAGAAGAATAACTGAAGGAGAATCTCTTCTTTAATACTAATCTATCAGTGATTATATGGTCTTTTTTCCACAAATTCCTATTTCTTATTTTGTCAGTGTATGCTACATACTCAGAAAAAAGGTACAAAAGTCATTACTGGGGTAGTACCTTTTCAAAAGGTACACTTTTGTACCTTATTTAGCTTTAAAGGTGCATATTAGTACCTTAAAGGTACATACTGTACTAGTACCAAAAGTGTACATCTTAGTACCTTTTTAAAGGCCTTTTTAAAGACAGCTTTTGTGCCTTTTTTGATTGTGGGTCCAGAATGAATCACATGCTCTGCAAATCTACTGTATTAACAGGCTTTAGTCATACTATTACTCATACTCACAAACAGAGATCTGAACAAACTCTAACCCTAAGTATTAAACTTTGGTATGTAACTCATCAAGCACTGTTTATATTACCGACAATAATTAGCCTTTTTTTGAGTATGAGGAGAGATGACTTTTCTAAGTGATCAAATTTATCATATTTCCCTGGTGAATGATACAAATGTCATGATTCACAATGAAGGAGGGACCTAAACCATGTCTGTGGATCAAAATATAATAGAGGCTTGAGTGTGGGAATTTGGAAACCACCAAGCAGCCCAGAACATTCTATAATCCACATAGCAACATGATTTTAAAAAACTGCAGAGCAACCTGGCAACCACCCAAAACACCCTAGCTTTGTGGGGGCAACTTTTACATAGCCAGGCTGTATTAACATTTCATACATATATAATCAAGTTATTTTGGTCAGAGAGAAATGGGATGTTTGTCATTTGAGAAACGTTGCCACAAAGCCAGAATACAGTGACTCCGAGTAACTCACCAAGGGACTGTTTGGTCTTAGAGATAGTAACTGTGGTTAGTTCATATTCCTGCTCTGGTGGGGTTTCTTGGCTGTCTGAATGTCCATTCACTGGTTCTTTCCAGTCCTGATCCGAGCTGGGCGCAAAAACCTGGGTCAATGGTGTCCTACTCCGGCGGTGTGCACTCATTACGGTATGCTTTACCTCTTTACCATTCTGGGATTTGTCTGTTTTCATTCGATGACCATTCCTATAAGGGGATCTCCCTCGCACTGGGATAGAATCACCCCTGCTGGATAAAGAGTCATGGTGTGATGTCCTGAGGACACCATTGTCTCTTCTCGGGGGGGAGCGTCCGATGCGTTCCGTGCCGTGAGGAGACTCTGAGTGTGTCCAGCTGGGCCGAGCAGGACTCAGTGAACGATTACGGAGCGAGTCTGTGATGTAAGTGTCCACTGGTACATCCAAGAGTGGTGTGAAAGCTCGAGGAGGAGGAAGCCGTCCAGTCGGTAAACCTGCCAAACGCAGCCGTTCCAGATCTTCAATGAGCTGCCGTTCACTCTCCAGATCCTGTACCGGCTGAAGGTGGAATCCACCCCGATAATCTGTGATTCAAGGGGATATTAAAACCATTTCTCACACATTCATAGCATAATCGCAGGTTATCATCACTCTAAACCCCACTTTTAAAGGGTAAAGGAACATTAGAGACTTGTAATTTAAGGCTGGAATGCACTACACGATTTTTGCCTAGATTTTTGCCCTGATTCACAGCCAGGAGAAGTTGATGCTAGTTGCCAAAACTCAAACCAGTCAGCAGATTTGAGCTGACTGATTTAATAGAAAATCACACAGTTTATGATGGTCACAGACTCGTAGCTTCAGATTCCATCCAGTCAGAGGATATCAAACATGTTTGATATTTTGAGCTGATTTTAGGACAGTTATTGATTTCATTTATCATACATCTCCTAGATACAAGGCACACATTTCTGCGTGAGTTTGTTGTGATCACAAAGATTTTAAAGTCTGGTATTACAAAGTTGACAATTGTACACTCTAAAAATGCTGGGTTGTTTTAACCCAACTTTGGTTCAAATATGGACTAACCCAACTTTTGGGTTAAAAATGTAATTGAAAAATGTAACCCAACAGTTGGGTTAGTCCATATTTGACCCAAAGTTGGGTTAAAACAACCCAGCATTTTTTAGAGTGTATGATGTCTAGTGTTTAAAATATGTTCAGATTTTTAAAGTCATGTACTGTATTCCAGCTCTCGGCAGAGCTGAGTAGATTACTTACAAATTGTAGTCCATTACTGATTACAAATTACATGATGAAAACTGTAGTTAGTAACACAATCTAGGTTACTCATTTTAGGTCATGTATTTTGACTACTTTTTAGATTACTTTCAGATTACTTTTTATCCAACTTGTTTTAATCTTGCCATTAAACATACAATATTGATACAAAACTGCAGAGAGAGAAAATATATTCCCTTTTTATATCAACATCATAAAATGTAATCAAACATTACATTAAACCAGGGTTTCCCAAACTGGGCTTAATGTAAGAACTGCAGTGGGTCTGTGAGTTGATAAAAAGCTAATAATTAAGTAAATCATAAAAATGTAAAATAAATTATTTAAACTTTGAACATTTGTTTACCTGCACGACAAGTCAATGAGACCATTAAGAAACATTGAACTGTAAAAATGCGAATGTGTTAAATTATTAAAATATTACCTTCCTGAGATATATATCAAGTAAATATTTAATGTCAAAGGGGTTTGGCTGACAAAAACGTTTGGGAATCCCTTTGTTTCATATATGGACTAACTGCTTGAGAGGTTCAGAAGCATGGATTGCAAAATAATTTTTATGACATTTTCATGACCATTCAATATTGTGAATATAGTCAAAGCTAAATAGCATAACAAACAGTAGGATTTTTAGAAAGGAAAATGTAAAAGAGAAAAAGAACAATTAGGGAGAACCAATAAATTATTAATAATTTACTGCCATTGTGTGCATATTATGCAATGTAATGGAATCCATAAAAAAGTAACTGTAATCTGATTATGAGCATTATAAAACATAATATACTTTTATTACAAGTACTTGATTTTTTAAATCTGATTACATAATCCAGATTACATGTAATCAGTTACTACCCAGCTCTGAGTAGTGGTGTTAGCACCACTTTTACCTGAAATTATGAAACCCGTCTCTTGTGAAGGGTTAGCACCACTTTTGCGTCATTGAAATATTACAGCTAGATGCTTAGCAACAGACATCCAATCACATCCCTCATATTTGAGTTAAGAAGAGACTGATTTGTTCCTACCATTTTAGTCCGAAAAGTCCATTCAGAGCAATATACAGGCTTCTGTTTACCCGGGGTTTAGAATGACCCAGGGTCAACTATTTCAAGTGTGAAAAGCCCTTTTTACCCTAACTGCGTAAGTGTGGCTAAAATGTCCAAATATTTTTTGGGGCTGCTGGATGTCAAGGTACATGGTATTGCCATCTGATTTCATTATTGTACCATAGTACCATATAGGTAAAATTATAGGTATATAAATACAACTGAGAATTCAGACTCAAAGATTTCCTCCTCCCACGAACATACATATAAATGGTATAAAAGCTGAATTCATTTATATCTCCTTAAATCAGTGCAGATGTTACGGAACCTCACACACACTTTCCCTTTCATCCAGAAATGTGAGCGACAATCACACATTCATATCCATTGAGTAAGCAGCGGTGTGGCGTTGCATACACGCACATCTCGCTCAGATTTCAGGGGCCTCTAGCAGAGAGAGTTTTGAATTACTCCTCTGTGGACATTACAAAGGAGCTGCATTAAGTCTCAGACCTGCGTGGGTGGACGCTTGAAGGTTCAACAATGCAAGGCGCCTTTCTTGCATTTCAGAAACGACTTCCATTCAAAAGTCAGAGGCACATTACAGCCTGACACTGTGGACAATGACAGCGGGCACTGTGCACTCCAAGGTTAGAGGTTAGGAGGTCATGCAGTGTCAGCAGCAGAAAGAAAGGCTATCTGGCAATAAGAGACAGATTATCTTCTTTTGGCAGTGATGCATGTTGGGCATCCTGCAAATGATGCATTTGTGTCCTAAATGGCAGCTTACAATGAAGAAAACTGCATAGGGCTTGTTATTAAAAAGTGATGGTAGTGTACAGTAACAAGGGTTTTAGAATGAGAGGGATTGTGTGTGTGGATTAAATATCAGCAACAGGATATTTGTAGTATATGTATGTGTGTGCATATGGTTAGACATTCATTTCAGGATATGAAATGCCTGGTGCAGAGAAGAGTTTGTGTCTTCTGGTTGTATAATTTCATACAGGGATCACTTTGAGGACATTGTACAGCACTGAAAATGGATGAGTAAACTCAGAACAGAATAGAATAGAATAGAATAGAATAGAATAGAATAGAACATTCCAGTTCACACCAGAAATAGGTTACCTGGGATGGGAGTTATTAAATGGCGACGGGGTGTTCCACCATGACGAGGAGAACGCAGGACTGGAGACCTTACTGGGGAACCACAAAAAACACAATGAACGGTTCACATTAATTGGATTCAAATTAAAATCCAGATTTTTCACCATCAAGTGCTCAACATATATGAACTTATTCAGAAATGTTAAAATCATCCCAAGACGAAGCTCAGCTAAAGTGTTGTTTTGATTTGGGGTTTGTTTGGCCCCATTTATGGAAAACATTAATAATACAAAATTAGTAGGTATCGAAAACTTTTGACTATTAGTGTATAAGTACTACTCAAAAAAATACGACATTCCAGTTCACACCAGAAATAGGTTACCTGGGATGGGAGTTATTAAATGGCGACGGGGTGTTCCACCATGACGAGGAGAACGCAGGACTGGAGACCTTACTGGGGAACCACAAAAAACACAATGAACGGTTCACATTAATTGGATTCAAATTAAAATCCAGATTTTTCACCATCAAGTGCTCAACATATATGAACTTATTCAGAAATGTTAAAATCATCCCAAGACGAAGCTCAGCTAAAGTGTTGTTTTGATTTGGGGTTTGTTTGGCCCCATTTATGGAAAACATTAATAATACAAAATTAGTAGGTATCGAAAACTTTTGACTATTAGTGTATAAGTACTACTCAAACATGGCAGCTAAAATTTAAAAAGCTGAAACATTTTCTTACCAGAACGGTTTTTTAGTATGTCATAGGCTTCAAGCTCAAAGGGCAAAACCATACTGTCAAAACGGCCCAGATCTGTGGGAGGGATGATCATTCTACATAAAAGAAAGTGAATGTTAAATTAAAACATTCCACACATGAATAGTGCAAATGCAGGCAGGAGATATATAAATATATGCATTTCAGAGGCTGACACTGAAACACTCCTTACCTAACCTCCCTCAGCAGCAGAAGCTTCTCAGGCTTGTCCAAGATGGCCAGCAGGGGGCGAACCAGATCCTCAACCACACGCTCAACTAGAAACTAAAGAACAGAAGGAGATGCCCTAGTTCAGCAATTTACTCCTGATAATGTGAACTAGTCACAAGCACTGGATTTAGAGTCTAAATCTTACCAAATTCGTGTAAAGCACGAAATATTCTTGGAATTTAGGGCTCACAAGCTGTCAATAAAGTACTAAACAATTTTGTAGTAATTAAGTAATACGGTCTGCTAGTATTTCACAAGCGCTATCCAGATAACTGTGGCATTGTCTACACTGAAAAAGTGTGGTGTAGAAACTAGTAGTAATTTCACAAATAATTACAAAGAATCCGAAAGCAATGCATTACATGTGAATTAAATGTGAATTTATTTTGAAATAGTAAGACTGAGGTATTGTCTTGTAAAACATTCTCCAGTAATTTTTGTTTTAATTACAACTACAATTTTATACTCAGAGTTCTGTACGATTTGGATAACTTGATCTCAATCATAAATGGCAAGACAAATCCCTCTTTTGTAAGCATAACCAGCATGCACATTGATTAGTCAGAAATATACATAGCAAGACAATAGAGCCTTTTCTAGTTAACCACATAAACATTTGGGAAAAGGATAAACCTGTAAACCCGTATAAAGTCCTAAATGAGACATTATTTCAACCCAGCAGACTTTTAGATGACTCACCGTTTTACAGTGTCTCATGACAGCCGCCACCTCATCCTCGTTGAGCAGCTTGCGGGCCATATCCTCCAACATGGCCATGGTCTCCGGGCTGGGGATGGGGCTGTGCTCCCTCATACCAGCACGAGTCTCTCTGGGAGAACTCAACAGGTTAATTATGGGTCGACCCCGCTCTTTACCTGAGGACACAAGTGCTAGAGTCAGTCTACGAGCTCTGATGACAGCAATTCTCATTTAAAGATCTATGGTTTTGGCATCTTTGGTTCCATGAAGAATCCATTGAAGCTTTCCTTTGTTCAATAGTTTTTTATAGTGCAAAAAGCTTCTTTAGATTATTAAAATGTTCTTCACAGAAGGAAAAAAAAAATTCTTTACTGTTAATTGTAAGGTTATTTAGGGGATCAAAAATAGTTCTATACGGTAGGGGTGTCCAATCCTGCAGATTTCAGCTCCAACACACTTTCCTAGAAGTTTCTAGTGAGTCTGAAGACCGTGATTTGCTGGTTCAGGTGTCTTTAACTAAAGTTGAAGCTAAACTTTGCAGGACAGTGGCCCTCCAAGAACAGGTTTGGACACCCCTGTTCTATGGCATCACAGCAAAAAGCCCATTTTAAAAAGTAAACTAATTGCAATTATGTACAGACAAAAAGACTGGCAAATCTGACTGGCCGAAAAACTGTGATTAGCTTGGAGTTTTCAATGTGTTTCTAAGTTTTGCTGCAGTATGCACTGTAGAGAAGGAAGCAATGCAATTCATCATTAGCTGAGCAAAACCACAGGAGTTGGACTCAAGGCCACTTCAAGGGAATTACCGCAGAACAGTGTACAGTAAAGCAGCTCTCTGATTTAGGCTCTTTAAAAACTCATTATGCTGCTTTCTGGCTTTTCAAATGCAAATATCTTCCTCAGCTATTCCCTGGTATCCACAGAAAGTGATCCTCATCAAAATATGTTAAACCACACGTGGACTCACCCGGTTCGTTATCTAAATGTTTCGGGGATTTGGATCTTCCTCTGTGTCCGTCCCCTGCCCCTTTGTCCTTCCTGTCTCTAGAGGACGACCTTTCCCGCCTGCGTCCGCTTTTAAAGAGCAAGCTGACAAAGGTTTTGGAGCGCTGCAGGGTGCTTCTCTCCGTCTCTACCTTGTCCTTTTGATGCTTCCTTTTCTTCTGCTTGTCCTCTGATCAACATCAAGCAGAAACATGTCAAAGATTGACCTCCAGGCAAAATATACTGAATAAATAGATGTTCACAAGGAAAACTTTAACATGCTCAAGTGATAAAATACATGTATTATAGGTGGCAAAGGCTCCAAGTTCAGCCCTGAGCAATGGTGACCCAGAAACTGGAGAGTCACTGAGATCACAATCCTGTTTCATCACTACTGTGTCCTCGAGAAAGTCATTTAACCCCAGGTCATTGCAGGATGAGAGCACTTTTTGGTTGAAAAACAGCTACTCTGAATTCTCACAATGCCTGTCATGGATATAATGGAGTAATTTTTCATATATATATATATATATATATATATATATATATATATAAATATAGCATCACCTACTTTTAGGACCTAAAATGTTCTTGTAAAGGTTTTTGAATTCATTAAATTTCATTTCGTTTTAATTACTGTAAAATATTATGATAAAACAAACAAGCAAAAAATATCAAATAAGTAACTGTACCGAGCCCCACAGATGACATGCTGGGGGGAAACAAATCAAGATATTGTGGCCAATTTGTTCCCACAATTCGTTAATTGGTTCTTCTTAAATTGTGTTTTTATATCGACAATTTAATTCAATTAAAACAAGAAAACATTAGCTCAACAATATTTAACTACAATGAGGGAACAAATTAATAATAATTGGTCAAGAATTAATATGGGAACTAATTCTTAATTTGTGGCCATGATATCTATTTTTTCTTCTTCATGTTAATAAAAAAAAAATCAAAAAAGTTCATGGTCCTAAAATAGGTGTCATGTCTTTCTATTTTTGATTTGGGGTGAAATATGACCTGAACATGTTTCCGTGAGATTTATCGAAGAAGAGCTTGTTATGTTAAGTTGTGATTGAAAGTATTTGTTAAAGGCCACAAAGCTTCCAGTCATTTATCTCCACAGTGTGAGGTATTAAGCCTGGCAAATAAAACAGGATGATATACACTTTGCTGTGTGGATTTTGAGCATACATTTCTCAAGGCATCAGATTCTCCAGTCTGAACCGTTAATCTTTCACGACAAGATCCCGTGCAGTAATGCTGATGTATTATGCATTCAACCAAGTTCATTTAAATGCAGAGATACAATGGCAGCACACTGCTATATATTTGACAAACAGACGTAGCAATGTGACTCTAAAGGTCAATTGCTGGTTTTCGACAACACATTTTCTATTCTGAGCGGAGCTTCCACAGCGTGGTGTGTGTATCAAATAACACAAGATCCTCATCACTTATCTGGTTGTGACCTTGGGCCCCGGCACTACAACTGAGATATGAGTTACATCAGTGACACAAACACAGGACGGCCCTGTGCAGCTCAACTAATTTTGATTCACAGCCTTCTGACAGACTGTTTTTTATCTCTTATCTCTAAACCAGCCCTACTGTACCTGACACAGTGATGTGACTCTGGGATCGGCGGATGGGTTTGCGAGGCTTGCTGAGAGCCATCAGGACTGCCGTTTTAGGAGAGTCCAAAGTCTCTTTATCCCCAGCAGAGAAGGTCCTTGTCCGAGTTTTGGAAGTCCCACTGCGTATTACTGTGTCTTTTAACAGGACAGTTTCGCCAACCGTTCGGCTGGTTTCTGTGGTTAAGACCCTACTAGATCTTGATGTGGCATCGGGCTCCGGTGGGTCCGTCTGCATGGCGGTCTCTATCCGTTCAGAGCTGGGCCGGCGTGAGCGGTCCTCGGTGGAGATACAGACATCCACCATCTCTGAGCCGAATACAGGAGGGAACATGACCTGCGAGAGGCCGCTGAGAGAGCTGACCGGCGTCCCAGAGGAGAGAGAGGAAGTGGAGGAGTAGGAGTCTGAACCCTGGGAGGAAGCGGGCTGGCCTCCATTAGCCACTAAGGGGGAAAAGTAGAGACTTTCATTTATTATTTTTAGAGATAAAAAGTTGGATCACTCAGTGCACTGAAGATCTGTCATCCACTTCATTAAACTTAAATGCACAGTACTGTCTACAGCAAAACTTCTATTTAATAACTTTAATATAAATAAAATTATTGTAATCTTTGACAATTAAGTTACACAGTTATTTCAAGGAAACAAATCTGTCTGCCTAAAATGCTGTGGCAGAAATCATCATAATTATCATCTTACATATATCAAAGAACCATTAAGGTGTTAAGCTGTTGATTTTTTTTAGGTCAAGTTTTATCTCGCTCTACATTGAAAAAAAGGTAAAGTAAAGATAAAGTAAAAAGGTAAGGTAAATTAACAGATTTTACTCCAGGCCAAAATATGATTTAACTTATTAATTTGCATATATATTATATATTTTAATAGATTTATTTGATATATTGTAATATTTATTTATTTATTTATTATTCTATCTATCACTGGGTACACCTCAATATATTAATTTATACAAATAAAATTAATGTTTATGCATTAAATCAGATATAAATAGCTTTTTTGGGTAACAAAATAAACTAAACTAAACTAAAATAAAATAAAATAAAATGATAACACATTTCTTGAAGCCTTTATGTATAACGCATTATTAAAGTAGTTTTAATGCATTAATTTTGCCTTGTAAAGCATTGTACAATCTCATGAATAATTGTAACCACAGTTAATACATTACAACACTTATCAATTCATTGTTACACTAGGCATTTTAAATTTGGTTATATTATTTACGTTAAGATATAATGTATTACAACGCACATTATGAATAATTATAATGCATTACACCCTTAAATAACCCTTTATAATGCATGCCACACAAAGGCTTTAAGTAAAATGTTACCAATAAAACAAAATAATAAAATAAAATAAAACTAAATAAAATAAAAAAGCTTAACAAATAAAGCAACAGACATCGTGTCTAAAAGCCTCATAAATATTAAAGTTCTGATGTCCTTTTACATCTGAATGAACAATATATCAATGTCACTTGTGTTAAATATGGAGCAGAATTACATGAGCTTCTGTCCTGTAACCTAAATACCCCTGAATCACCCTGATGTTACAAACATGCACAATCCTGGACGACTTATCTGAATGTGAACATTACGATCTAATCCGTGGCTATTTTCAGACACTGCCATCCATATTAAATGGAAAACAGAGAATCGGAGGGCAATGAAAAAATCTGGCTTGACATGTGGCCGGTTGTCGTTCAGCTTTGATCTGGAGATGGGCCATCCCAGTGCACACCATCAATTCATTATGAAAATTGCATTTCTATAAGATACAAGTGCAAATGAGTGGGTCGCACAAAGCACGCAACCTATCCATTAATATATGTACTATTAACAGATAAGATGTTAAATAGTGATGTTTGCAGGTAACGGTTACGTACATTTATTAAGCCAGCTGTACTCCGCCACCATCTCCTTGTAAGCAGGATATCGGCCAGCCTCCTAGGACAGGATATTACACAAGACATAATCACAGTGAGAAAAGGAGCTACAGCCTTAATTACATTGCATGCAAGTTCAAAAGTCCTTGGGTATAGTTCATTGTGCAAATTAAGTCTAAACAGCCTAAAAATGACTTCAAACTGCATTTTCCACCAGTGAAGTCAGAAGGATATGACCTCATTTCTGATGCCCTAGGTGTACGCTGACCTCACTACAGGCTCTCATGAAGTCACAGTTAGTTTGATTCTCCATAAACATAAAACAAGCTTGAACATCAAGATGATGGTAGGAGGCAGCCTGATCTGCCTTGCAGGATCTCCTCATGCAGGAGCTAGATTTGAACAGACTGCAGCAAAGTTAAAAAAACATCCCTTTCTCCTTTTGTTTTGACCCTTGTCTGACATTTTCTCACACTGTCACTTCACTTATCACCAGCAGAGCTCGTACTTACCACCACGAAGTGGCATCAATAGCTAACAAAGCAGGCATTTAGCAGCCCTATATACTTATAGCACCACTGCAGGTTTGACAGAGCCTTGCCACGGGGGCAATGAGAAAAGGCCATAAAACGAGGCTTTCTGCTGATTATAACTTGATCCCTAAGGCCTGGTGAATAATGCACACCCGCTGGCTATTTTTCACAGGTGGAACCTGAGCCCTGCCTGAGTAAAGCGAGCAACCAGGAATGTGACGGCTAAATGCCAGCTGTCTGCTTTGCTATGCTTTCTCACTCCCAGACGCAATAAGAGGCAGTGTTGTTTAACATGCTGTGGTAGCAATTAATATGCCAAAGCACTTTGGAAATCATTTGTCTTCCTAAACTAAAAACTAAAATTTCCCTGATAAACTAAGATGTCAAGTCAAGTCACCTTTATTTATATAGCACTTTTAACAATACAGATTGTGTCAAAGCAACTGAACAGCATTAATTAGGAAAATAGTGTGTCAATAATGCAAAATGACAATAGTAAACACTAATTTTTCAGTTAAAGACAGTTCATCATTGAATTCAGTGATGTCATCATCCAGCTCAGTTCAGTTTAAATAGTATCTTTGCAATCATTTGCAATCAAGACAACGATATCGCTGGAAATGAAGTGTCCCCAACTAAGCAAGCCAGAGGCGACAGCGGCAAGGAACCAAAACTCCATCGGTGACAGAATGGAGAAAAAACCTTGGGAGAAACCAGGCTCAGTCGGGGGGCCAGTTCTACTCTGACCAGACAAAACCAGCAGTTCAATTTCAGGCTGCAGCAAAGTCACATTGTGCAGAGGACTCATCTGGTTCAAGATGTATACAGTACATCGATGTACCTTTTTTAATACTGTCATTAAAAATGGACACTCTATATTATTCATTTGTAAAACTGGGTGGGTGTTATTCCCATAAATAAGACTGTTGATAATACTGATAATCTCAAATGGTCAAATATCAGGTCTATTGCTAAAGTTTTGGTTATTCTCACCTTAATGGTCAGCATCACATGAGTGTGACTCTTTAGCACTTCTACTGCATTGCTGTGTGTGATGTCCTCAAAACTCACTCCATTGGCTGCCAGAATCTGATCCCCCATTTTAATTCCATTTTGCTCTGCCAGGCCACCAGGGTCCAGCCTCATCACAAAATTAAACAAATCATCGCATTAATAAAGTTCAGCAATTAACCATAGCATCTAGGCAACAGTTGTCACGAAGTTGTCAGACATCCCTTAAACCCTGGGCATTTTGTCTTACTTTGAGACATAGATGCCCAGGCCAAACTCTTTGCCACCGCGGATGTTGAAGCCCAGGCAGTAGTCATCTGAGGTTGTGTAAAGGTGCACTATTCTGCGCAGGGCTCCATCTGAACTGGCCTCTGAAGGTGTGCGACCACTTTCTTCCACTACCATCCTTCGGTGGATTAGATCTACCCTGCACACATACATTCATATACAGTATCTCACAGAAGTGAGTACACCCCTCACATGTTTGTAAATATTTTATTATATCTTTTCATGTGACAACACTGAAGAAATGACACTTTGCTACAATGTAATTACAAGCAATAAACAAATAAGTGACACAATAATTTAAGTCATTCTACAAAAAAAACAAACACAGGTTTGGGGTCCTTACATTTCTTTTTTTAAATAAGGGTTAGTTCAACCAAAATCTAAATTCTGTCATTAATTACCCTCATGTCTTTCCAAACCTGTAAGGTCTTCAGTTTTTGATGAAATCCGAGAGCTTTCTGACCCTCCATAGACAGAAATGCAACTGACAAGGTCTTCAAGGCCCAGAAAGGTAGTAAGGACAGCTTCATAAAATTACGGTTGAACCACTGATGGCACATATTTTAATGACTGTTTTAATGATGTCCTTACTACCTTTCTGGGCCTTGAACATGTCAGTTGTGTTGCCGTCAATGGAGGGTCAGAAAGCTAAAAAATATTTTAATTTGTGTCCTGAAGATGAATGAAGGTCTTACGGGTTTGGAACGACATGAGGATGAGTAATTAATGACTGAATTTTCATTTTTGGGTGAACTATCCCTTTAAATTTATCAAAAGTGGCAGTAAAGACTTTTTACATTGTTATGAGAGATTTCTATTTCAAATAAATGTTATTCTTGAAATTTCTATTCATACAAGAATCTTGAAAAAGAGGAATAGAATTTTTCTAAATATTACTGTTTTTATGGATTTTTGATCAAATGAATGCAGCCTTAATCAGTATGAGACATCTTTCATAAAAATAAAAAAAAAAAGTTTTTGAAGGGTAACTACAAAGTTTATTATCAAAACTGAAGTGTGTAATTTCTGCACAACTAGTGTTGTTACCAAACAGAATTGTCCCACTCTTTCATTGGACAGACAAACTAAAAACCCCACCCCACACTTAAGCCACTGGCTCCATGTTGCTGTGCTCTAGCCGGTCAGGGTGCTCAAAAAAAGCATTTTTTTTAATGTTTACAGCGTTTAAACTTTGAGGAAATCAATCTACAAGTGATTTACTTATAGTTATATTTGCATATTAAGTTAAGATAGCTTAATCAGTATGAGACATCTTTCATAAAAAAAAAAAAAAAAGTTTTTGAAGGGTAACTACAAAGTTTATTATCAAAACTGAAGTGTGTAATTTCTGCACAACTAGTGTTGTTACCAAACAGAATTGTCCCACTCTTTCATTGGACAGACAAACTAAAAACCCCACCCCACACTTAAGCCACTGGCTCCATGTTGCTGTGCTCTAGCCGGTCAGGGTGCTCAAAAAAAGCATTTTTTTTAATGTTTACAGCGTTTAAACTTTGAGGAAATCAATCTACAAGTGATTTACTTATAGTTATATTTGCATATTAAGTTAAGATAGGAAAAAGTGTTCTAATATAAATAATTACACACTTCACTTTTAAGTAAAAATCAGTGTGTTATACACAAGCGCACACACACACACACACATAAATCTTCAGGTGGACACACATACACTTCTGTAATAAACTTGCTCATTCTACTATCAGTTAATGAAATGGCTGAGAAGACCACTAAGGTAACTCTACCACTTCTGTATGCTGAAACAGAAGCTGAAGGAAAAGATAACAAGTAAAGGCCAAGAGTCACAGGGTTTCCACCCCGTTAGTCAAGGCAGGGGGAGAAAGAGCCCATCACTACGCTCTGCTTATCTTCTCAGTTCAGTTAGTCTAATTAAACCCCATCATTCAGCAAATCTGCAACAGAAAATGCCTAAAAATACAGTCTTTCAAATACTAAAAGAACCTCTAAATGTTCAAGGGCAAAACACACTCTTCTGTTATGAGTTGTCAAAGGGTATTTGGACAACCTCCAGGAGGCAGGCTTCTGGGAGACAGGTCAAGCTGCCATACAAACAGCTACTTTTCTTGCATAATACTAAAGGACATGTTGATGCATTTCATTACTTTTTTGTATAACTATGAAAATAAAAAGAATTGCATTTTTAAAACTTTTAAATGCACAGATACACAATATCTCATGCAATATATACTGTAATATCTGAAAAACTTGAACCGTGTTTGAGTACAGGCTTGATGATGCATCAGCCACAAAATCATCAGTGTAATAGTTCTCAAGTAGGGAACTTCAAGAAAAAAGTCCACAAGATGACTTAAAATTATTTAATAATTTACAATAAAAATTAAAAACCTAAGAATAGTAGGAATACTAAGAATAGTATTTTACCTTTGAATAACTATTGTTTTTATTGAAGAACATACAGAATAAGAATCTTTAATATTCTGGAATCACAAAATAAATCGTGATGAATTAATTTATCAACATTCAACATCTAGCTTCTGTTAATAACAAAGTTTGAAAACAAGCAATGTTATCATGATTATAACAGGAAATAGCAAAGAAAATATCTTAATCAATATGGGATTCAAAAATGTGGACAACTGCAGAAATAACATTATAATTGATGTTCAGCCTGATAGAGTGTGCTTAGCCTAATAAAAAAACCATACAAAATAGTATATCATGTTCAAGTGATGACATAAAAGCTCAACTTACCATGTAGTCTTCTCTTTCGAATAGCGGATACCTGGCACCTTCCCAACACGTCTTACCACCATGCGCAGACGATTATTTCCTGTCAGGACTTTTACGGCACTGCTCATGGTGATGCTCTCCAGACTTATGCCATTCACCTCGACCAGCTTATCTCCAACACACAAGCCTGCCAACTCTGTAGTGTGGAATCAGGATACAAAAACACATTAATATGAAACTCACCAATAGCTTATACATGCATACCTTGTCGTAATAAATCTAAAATCTCAAATGCAAATCCTCATCAGTTGTAACCCCCTCTGTGTACCTGCAGAGCTGTCATCCTCCACCTTGCTGACAAAGATTCCCAGGCCGTGTTCAGAGCCTCCCCGCACACTGAAGCCCAGCCTGCCATCCTCACTTTTGTCCACAGTAATTGTGTGGATGTCTTCACTGTCATCCCCACCTACAGTGCACCAACATCAAACACAAATAGAAAGTTCCTCTGAAAATAAATATAACTCACAAGTATAGTGATGGGTTTCGTCAATGTTTTTGCTCCTTAGCAAAAGATTCTTTCTCATATAATATAATATAACATAACGAATTTCCAATGTAAGACTTTCTTTAAAAAAACTAAACAATTTTTTTAAGCTTTATTACATGTTTTTAAATGCAAGAAAAGGCAGCCAACAATTGTATTGCATTCAACAACTCCTTCAATCACAGGATCCTGTTTGTGTTATTTTCGTAGTTTGATAACACTGTACTGTTATTGTCCTAGGAATGCATAATATCCCAAGTTATAGATATGGATCTGGCTGATACCCAAGCAGATGATAATTTTCATGGTATGGCCGATAACCGATAAATGGCAGATATCAAAATTGTAAACTATACAGATTAGAATCTAAAAATAAAAAATAAAACACTAAAAATATAAATGAACCATTTTAAAATATGCAATATCGACTGAAACTAATTAATAAAAATAAAAAAAACTCTAATATTAGCCAATAACCAATATAGTTATATTATATTTTAATCCTTAAGTGGAATAAACATACTTTAGAAAATATCACCTCAACCTGATCTCATGAGAAATTTTATATATTTTTCGAATTGGCAATTTTGTATCAATTTGTATGATTTGATTCTTTGACAAATTGCTTTGTGTGGATGATTGTACAAAACCGTACAAACGAGAGCTACCAATTCACCAAAAAATAAAACAGCTATGAATTGCCATGAGAATGTGTTGGTAAACCTGCATCTAGATCAAGCTCTTGTAGGAGACTTACCATCGACAGGTGCATTGATGAGGATGACCCTCCCCATAGGAGAGGAAGATCTCACTCCTCTCTGGCGCTGCTGCTTCTTGTGCAGGTAGCGTGGTAGAGTAGAAGTGCCCGAGGGCCCTGGCTGGGCACTGGGATGAGCCCCATTCGTCATGTCTTTGCGTGCCGTGTCAGACGAATGAGCCATGGCAAAGTGCCGACCTCCCCTCTAACCCTCATCCAGGGCCTGAGCTTCTAAAGGGAATGAGGGTGGATGGGGAAAACTAGAGGTCCAGTGGGTCAATACTAGTCACGAGGATTACAGTCCACAGGATTAGATCCACAAAAGGAAACTCCACTGCACAGTGGTGCAGGAAGAAGCTGCTATGGATCCAGCATTGTTCACTTTAGATTACAAGACATATTGTGATTTGTCTTCACAGAGTCTTCACGGAGAACTCCGACATGATTTTAATCATTTCATGAAACAGCTGATAAACAAATTCTATTATCCAAGAAGTGGCAGAGCAAAATGTATCCTTATATGCATTGTTCGGAAGAGAGTCTCGCAAAAACAGAGGATGTGTAATAGTGGCTCAGGTCTTTTTGTTGAGTTGAAAGTCTGTGGGTTAGACTGGGGCATTGGGCAGGAGTCCCTCCTCACTGCCAGTGGAGCTTTGCTTGGCAGAAGTCAGTCATCTGGTCCTCCCAGGCCTCAGTGTCTCACCTTTACCTGCCAGTGATCCAAGACAACAGAGAAAGATCTGTGAGAACCCAGCCGCGCAAAGACTAATTTCCCATGGGAGGTAAAGTGATATCAGCAATTATTGCATTCTGGAAAGCTAAGGGTTGCACTGTTTCCACAGCAAGAGATACTGAGCCGATGTGGAACACTAATGTGTTAAGATCTACTGCTTTAAACTGTGAATGCATAAAGAGTGTTGCCTCAACAATGTTATTTATTTGGTTACTGGTTCAGAAAAATAAAAATACAAAAACTTTTTCTTAATGGATTGATCAAGAGAATTACATTAAATTTGGTTTGTGATTATTTTATTTTCACTTTTATATTTTGTTTTGAAAATACATTTTTATATGACTAAAAGTGTGTTCCATCACATGCAGCATGTTTTATATGATACATTACCAATAACCGTATCATTTAAAAAAAAAAAAAAATAGAGATAATAATGAGTCAACAGGTGTGTCCAGGTGACCAGAACAAAAATCTCTTT